GTCTAAAGTTTTGCGTTTCAATCCGTTGACGTGTTCAACGATTTTGTGCTCGTTTCCTCGGCTCGCGTGACGATACACGCGACAAACATACACGTAAAATTTATTTTGATACGACGCGAATAATCTAAGTTAAAGCGCGAATACTGTATATTCTTGTATACTTAGGATAATAACACCGCTGCGGTGTACAAGCTCGTTTAAACGGATTCCCTCCGAATCCTTCCTTTCCCCCCCTTTCGGCACGATCTCATTCACGTCTTATCCTTTCCTTTCGTTTCTCAATCCTCGATCCTCGATCAATAAAAATCTCCTCGAATCGCCCGCTTCCTTGATATCGCTGCTTTATTCCAATAAAATAAAACGATAACATATATATATATAAAATATATAAATATATACAAATTATCATTTTCAAGGAGAGAATTATTCAAAATAAAATAGATATATTGTAACGAAAACAACGATTATCGACGATACATTATACCTTCATCGATGATACGTTATCTCGATCGAATCTTTTTATTTTAAACAATTTTCCCGATTAAAAATAATAATCTCTCTGTTAAGATAAAATTAGATATCGTCGAAATAACGAATAAAAGGGAAAAAAGCTAGGCGTCCACCGGTAAAACGTCGTAGAGTAATTTTAATAAAAAAAGGATTTATTCGTCGAATAGGGTATGAAAAATACGAAAAAAAAAGCAGCTCTATCAAACAATGCGAGAAACTAGATACAATACGTTTTTCGTTCAACCGACGATGGAAAAATCTCATTTGACGAACGATAAGACGTCTCTCTCTCTCTCTCTCTCTCTCTTTCTCTCTCGAGAAACTGCTTCTCTATCCTTCCTCTTCGATCCGTCATCTTTATTCTTTTTCACGTTACGATTATTATATACTTTGGATATGGATTTTCACGCGTGGAACACACAATGGAACGCGTGCTAGCATAAATGCATGCGAAATTCAATATTATATATATACATCTCGCACACGAATTTACAGCGGCGAAAGCCAATGGGCTGTTGATCATCGTACGACTCTTCTTCTTCTTCCTGCTGTTGTTATTCTCACTTCTTCGCCGGATGCCTCTCCCGATGATCTTCTCGATGACGATGACGATGTGCGTGTACATGTGTGTATGTGTGTGTGTATCTATGCGTGTGTAGAAGATGGACGGGAAACGTGGACACGATTTTCTTTCACGATTCTCTCGTCAACGTTTTCAAAGTCACTTAACGATAGTCAACAACTCGCAACAGAGATATATATATATATATGTACACACACACACACACGCGCGCGCGCGTTTCACACGTTTCACACGTTCGAACGAATACGGAATATCCATCGGTTTCACTTTATTACGCGGTTGCTCGACACTGGGTGATGATCCGGTGACCGACGGATAGGCCGATCGTCGCCATTCGAGATCACATCCGACTGGAACCGAGACGGGTTAAATAGCCCCTGACCTGCTTGGAGAACCGTCTAGGTTCTTCCCCTGTTTTCTTCTCCGATCTTATGACGAGAGATGGCCATCCAGGTAGGGTTGGTCCGGTTTCCTGAGATGGGCGAGTCGTCGCCTGGTAGCCCTTCTTCGGCTTCCGCCTTGCCACCCTCAGGATTGAAGTCCACGGCGTAGGTGTTCGAACACCTGTATCACGTATTCAAGCCCGTTCATGTAATCCCGAAAGATCAACCAATCGCGTAAATTTCGATGCGTCTCCGAAGATTGTTTCCGGAAATCGGGCTTCATGATGTCCCGTGTCACGTCTGGCCGTGACGACAGTTGACGTTCCACTAGCGCTACCTGCAGCTCGCACAGCACCTGTAAACGTACATTTTCCAATGTTATGGAAATCGAATCGATTTTTCTCTCTTTTTTATCGTTATTATTATTATTATTTCTTTTTTTTCTTACGAAACTTTTCGAATTCGAACGATTCGCGTTACACGGATTATTGGTAATTAAAAAAAAAAAAAAAAAAAAAAAAAAAAAAAAAAGAGGAAAAAGATATCTAAAATATTTTCTTTTTGCTCTGTTAACCGTTAAGAAGAAGGAGAACAGAAACGAGAAACCGAGAAATTAAAGGGAGATCGGGTAAAAGCTGACAGAACAGTGATCCAAATTGCAGTTGAATGGACGATAAGTCTATAAACGTTTTTACGCGGCTCGAATGTTTTGTCGCGCAAACTTTGCGTCAAACTCGTAAAAGCAAAGTGCCTTTTTTATCGCGTTTGCGACAATGCAAGTAACGTGATTCAGGCTAATAGCATTCGGTGAGATTTCGGTACCATTGTGAAAGTTGTTCAATAATTCTTTTCTTTTTCCCCCCCTCCCCCTTTTTCTTTTCTTTTCTTTTCTTTTTTCTTTTCTTTTTTCTCTTTTACCGGAGGAATGAAAAATAATTCGCGAAGAAGTATTGGAATATTGAGAGAGAGAGAGAGAGAGAAAAAAGAACTCACCGTTCGCAGTTTGTATTCGGTCTCCTTAAATTGGTTGCGAAACTCGAGTTGAAGATCCTCTTGATCCCAAACAATCTGTTCCAGACCCACGGCATACTTTTGCATGTATTCATACGCGTCGATGAGGGCTGTATCGAGCTGCGAAAACGAAAAATGCATTTTTTTGTCAAATCAATTCGATCATTTTCTATACCTGAGAATTTTGCCTCATCAATGAATATGTTTTTGATCGGTTCAAAACTAAAATTTTCTCTTTAACGAAAGAACGATATAAAATTATAATATACAAAATTGTGAGATTATCGTAGGAGAAATAACATTTGCATAAAGTGTACGCGACATATTTCGAGTTCAAGTTCTCT